TTAGCTGAGGGTGAAGGCCTCATGACCCAATAACCTCTCAAAATCATTTCTCTAAAATGCCGTTAACATTGACTTTGGGGATTAAGTCTCCAACATATGAAAACTAGAGGACACATTCAAACCACAGAAGTGGCTGTGAACCTCCTAGAGGGAGACAAGTTAGGATACTATGCAGTTGGGAATGAGGTGAGATGGCACCGTGGCAGTGGACAGAAACAGACAGACTGGGGGATGAATTTTGAAGACATGGTTTTCACGGCTTGCTCCTAAACAGAGGAAGTAAGGCAGCACAGACAAGAATCAGTATGAATCCTGGGTATCTGATGAGAACAAATTTACTAAGGTGGGGAAGGGAAGGAAATATCTACTATCTTGGGCCAAGTCAGTTTCAGATGCCTATTATGTATCCAAATGGAAAATCTGCACAGAATAGGCATCTGATAAATACTTTTAATAGCTACCACTCTGAGGACAGTAAACTCACCTACAAATCAAATATAGGATAGAGCACTCAAACCCTAACTAACTCTACCTGCTTCCAAGGTTACAGAGAGACAAACACAAGGTCATTGAAATGATCAGATATCTCAATTCTTTTAATAAAATACATCATTTTTGGCTGTTTTTTGATTCTCTCTGGCCCACTTTTTAATAAAAGAATGTTGAATGTTATTTCAGAAGCTTTAGACAAATTTGCCAATTCAAGGACTTGCTCCACTTTTCTAGGCCTTAGAAACACCAGCGTGCGTGGTTTAGTGTCTTGAAAGCAGTCGGAAGGGACTCACCAAGTCACTTTCACTCAAAGACGTTCAATGCTGGACACAGACTCACGGAAACCGAATGCTTTGATGCTCTGGGCAACAACACACATTTTAACCTACTTTATCCACTTCATGATTCATATGTGCAAAGATAAAATCTACAGTGAAGTTGACCCTCTTTAGTTTTGAGTTTTGGTAACTACTTACAGTCAAATAGTAAGATACAGAACCAGTTCCTTACCCTAAAAATTTCTTTCAAGTCCTTCTGCAGTCAGTTCATCTCCCACTCACACTGCCTGGTGACCTCTGACTTATTTTTGATCCACTATTTTTTTAAACTCAAGCACAGCCCTATGAATTTGTGACTTTTATTCACAGTTCCTTGGCAAATTCCTATAAAAATAAAATTTCTTAAAAAGCATTATGTGTGAAATATTAGAATTACTTAGAAAGTATTTAACGACTTTTTTGAGAAGAAATCATCAACAAGGTATGATCAATATCTATGGTGAATGTTTAAGTGTCAAGAATTTATTACAGTGAAAGACACACTGCCGTAAATCCCCCTAAAAACACTCCCCCTCACTTGGAACACATTTATCCCACCATTCTGCCACTTTCTGAAGCAGTTCTGGGAAGTCCTCTTTCATGTCTTTGTCAGGTATGATAAAAAGTGTGAATGTTCCTGTCGAGCGCCGTCCACTGGGAAGACAGGCTCATAACAACATTATTCACTGTGTGACTTTTGGCTTTTCCCCGAATCAAAATGACCACAAAAGGTAAACGTGCTGCATGGATTCAGGACACTGAGGCAGCTACAACAGCACAACTAAAGACATTCATGAAAGAAGACTCCCAGAATTGCTTTGGAAAGTAGCAAGAATGACAGGATAAATATTTTTGAAAGGAAGAGGAGTATTTTGATGGGGATTAATGTCAATGTGTCTTTCACTATAATATTTTTAAAAAATTAAATATTATCCCTATTTTTCATCATATTCCCACTGTTAAGGAGTAAACAGAGTTGTCTAAATCAGGGTTTGTAACTTTTCTCTAAGAAAAGGTTTTCATCTAATTGCTTGAACAAAACCAGTATGACTTTTAATATATACACTCAAGTAATAGATTTATCACTGTCTCCTCAAAATAAAAGATATATATATATATATGTATATATATGTATATATACATATTTGTGTGTGTGTGTGTGTGTGTGTGTGTGTAGAGGAAATGTGTTTAAGGTACTCAAAAAGTAATTTATTAATTGATTCTTAATTGTTCTGAACGAATGAACATATCTTTCAAGGTATGAGCTAGAAATAGCTGCATATAACTCAGCACTTAAGGTACTGAGCTTAGGAATCAGAAAGACCTAGGTTCTGTTCACAGTTTGTATTCATGGGTTCAAACTCTGATCAAGTCACTTCAAGTCTTAGAATCTCAGTTCTTCCATCCATTAAGTGTGTATGGCAGTACTACCTATTTCATGTAGCATTAACACAATATTAGTATCAGGTCTGGCACATACAAGTTCTCAATAAATGTTAGTCATTGTGTACCAAATAGGATTTCTATTTCAAAATCATTAAAATAGTCTATTATTCAGAACTTATTTCGGAACAATAAGGAAAGTATCTTTATTTATATTTTATATATGATGAAGTAGAAAAAGATATAGTTGAATGGATCAACAAACAGCTCAGGTGCATACAGCTACAGAGAAGTGAGAAGCACGCGGCTGTTCTAAGAACTCCAGCAATTGAAACTCTCACACTGCCATTTTAAGAGCAAGATTTTCTTTCATGTATTTATTTATTGATTTTTGTGCCAGGGATTGAACTCATAACCTTGTACTTGCCAGTCTTGCATGTTTTTAAAGAAATAAGGAATTGTGCTTTATGATAAAAAGCATGGAAGATTTTTAGTCTGTTCTGGCTGTTGTAATACAGTATCATCAACTGGACGCTTATATACAACGATACTCATTTCTCACCATTCTGCAGCCTTAGAAGTCCAGCATAAAAGTACCAGCGATTAATTTTCTTATAAGGGTCTGCTTCCTCAAAGGCAGCCTTTTCCGAACTGTAACCTCACATGGTGGAAAGTGTGAGGGAACTTGCTGGGGTGTCTCTCATGAGACTAATTTCCTCCATGAGGGCTCTGCACCAGATCTAATCATATCCCAAAGGTCCTACCCCCTTCTGCTATTCTCTTTAGGGTTAGGGTTTCTACATATGAATTTTGTTGAGACATGTATATTCGGCCCACATGGATGAGAATAGGACAGATCTCCACGTTGCAGCTTTTCTTTCAATGTAGGGAAGGGCCTCTTATCCACCAACTTTTTTCTCTGTAAAGGGCAATATCACTAAATGGGAGCTCAAGTGGGAAGCTAGCCATGTGATAATGTTCAGATTGTCATTTTAAAATGGGAGTAAGTAATTTACATTTATTTCCATTTTATTTCTCAGAAACATAATCTTTTTCTCTTCAATGTTTTACCAGCAAATGGTACTTATAAAATTTTAAACTCAGATAGAAAGAAACTGAGAAAATATCTAGCCCAACTCTTTTATTTTAAGGTAAAGAATGAGGACCAAAAAGAAACTTACTAAAATAAAAGCCAAAGTGAGGGCTGGAGCTGCAACTCAGTGATAGAACACTTGCTTAGTATGTGTGAAGCTCATGATCCATTCCCAGCATCAAAACAAACGAAACAAAGCAAAACAAAAACCAACAAAACAGAACTTAGGCCAAGCAGAGCTCCAGACAGCAAGCATCAGACCAAGTCTTTCTGAGCTTCACCACCTAGAGTCTAATGTCACTAAACTCAAGCTAGCTGCTCCCAGTAAGAATGATCATGCCTCTCTAGTATAGAAAATGTAAATTGAAAATTCCCAGTTTCATTCCTAAAATTGTTTTTCCCTTTCCATTCATTATGTGAGTTTTAGAAGTGAATAAATTAAATCTTTCAGGCTACTAATAATCATTAAGGGAAACATCTGAATTCCATACACTAAAAAATGTGGTTAGAGATTACGAGATAAACTTTGACAAAACTTTAAAAAGAGATGTATACAAAATTAATCTGTACTGATAGAAATCAGAACAATGGTTGGTTGAGGGAAGGGCTTCACTGGGAAAGAGCGGGGGAAACCATTCTATAACAGAAATGCTCTAAATCTTGCTAGGGATGTGGTCAAACTATATACTTAAAATGTGTGCATTTCACAGTATATAAATTATATTTTAAAAAAAACTTATGTAAAAAACTACTCATGTAGAAATTCATCCAAAAGAGTGACTCAGTTGATGAAAAGCAAGGACCAAACCAATGGAGATCTTTTAAAAATATTGTGGCTAAATGCATTTCTGTTCAACTACTACATTCATGAGACTGAAGAGTTTCTTTCAGGCTATCCCAGTTAGTAGATTCTGCCTTCAATAACAATGAGGGTATTATTTTAAAATGGCATACACTACTGTGATAACATATCCACTGATTTGCACTGTCCAGTAAAGTAATCTGAAATTTAATACTTTATTCTAAAAACAAGATAACTTTTATTGATAAAGGTTGAATACAATGTGCACTAATTAAGTTTTCATCTATTTTCTGTACCTGTTTACTATGAATACCAAAGTATATACACAGACATTCTGCTACTGTATATTATACTTAGTAACAGTCTTCACAAAAACTATTTAAAAGACTAAAGAATTAACTATTTTCTGGTTGATGAGCACAAAATGTTGGCTGGGAACCAGGTGAACATGCACAGAGCCGGATGTGGTGGTGCACGCCTGTAATCCCAGCACTCAGGAGGCTGAGGCAGGAGGATTGTTGCAAGTTCAAGGCCAGCCTGGGCTACAAAGTGAGCTCAAGGCCAGCCTGAACTGCGTAGCGAGACCCTGTCTCAAAAAAAAAAAAAAAGAACCAGCTGAACACGCACAAAACTGGTTAAAGACACTTCTGCTAACATTTATCATAAAACAAGTAGAAGAAAAGGGCAAATTTAGAGTTCAAGTTATAGAAAGAAAAGGAAGGCCAAAAGTTCTCACCTCCTTCAGCAAAGTATATTTAAGTGATAAATTTTACTTCCACTTAGTAAAAGGTCTAGTACACTGCCTGGCACACACTGATAAAGGTAGCTGCTTAAGAAAACAATGAAGTCTATTACTGTCCTAATGAAAGATGGAGAGGAGAGTTACTGTCCCTCTCTTTCTCAATGGTCTTACCAGATCTGGCTTTACTTGGTGAATGAGGGGAAAGGACAGCCACATGGAGTGCAGGGTGGTGAGCACTGTGGAGAGCCAGGACTGCTGAACCTCACGGCTTCTTGGGATTCGGTGAATGTAGTATCTGCTATCCTAGGCAAAAACAGCAGAAATCCAAGTCAAGTTAACATCTGCAGAAAGAGAAAATACTTTATTTTTTATTTTCATTCTACCCCTTTCAAAGTTAAAGTCATAAAATCGATTTTAAAGCTTTACCTAACGTGTACATCATTGGGGTAAGAGAGAAAAGCTCCCAAATATCATTCAAAAACATGCTAAAGTAGGTTTTGCCCATACGTTTCTATAAAATATGTTATGGACAGAGAGGTTAACATGTTGATATACAAAACCGGTTTACAAATCAATACAAAGATAAAATCATACCAAGATGTGCAAAGAAGAGAGATATTTTCAAACAGAAGACACAGAAATAGCTAAGAAACATAAAAAGATGGTTAACAATGAAGCATACAAGAAAAGTCGTTCTTTTCATCTACTGGACTAATCATGATTGTAACTACGAAGTGTTGTTGAAGGTGTAGGGAAGTTGGCCTTTATATTCCCCGATCAAATACACTGGGACAACTTTTTGGAAGGGCAACCTGGAAGTACCTGTCAGAATTTTAAATGTGTCCACTCTGATGCAGCAGTTCTATTTCTACAAATATATCCTGCAGATTTACCCACCCATCTACCCACTGTATCACTGTATATATTTACAGAAATTGGAAACATTAAATATTCTCCAACAAGTTCATATAATAAAATACATGGAAGTATGTTAACATGACACATCTCTATGAATTTATATAGAATATATCACATTAAATGAAACCTCTAAGTTGTAAGACTATATGATCCAGTGTCTTTTAGCAAAAAACTCATGTGTACTTTTTATATACACATACTTTTTATATACACATGCATACATTAGTATTTGCATGGAGAAAACGTAGAACAAAAATGCCATAAATTATAGATAAAATAGAGGATATTTTCATTTGGCATGTTACATACATCTATGCTTGAAATTCCCAAGAATACATTATTATTTTAATTATCAGAGAAACCAATACTTTTTCCCCGAATCAAAGTTCCAGGTGTATTAGTCATCTATTGCTATCCCAAAATTTAGCAGCTTAAAATGATAAATACCTACTGTTCCTTACCACTTGTGTGGATCAGCAATCCAGGGGCGGCTTGGCTGGATCAGAACGTCTTGCTAACTTGAACCCACATTGTTGGCGAGAGCTACGAATAACTCAGGACGACTGAAGCTGGAAATCCACTTCCAGCACTGCCTGCCTACATCTCTGGTAATTCAGTGCTGGTGGCTGGCTGGCAGCACTTTCTACAGAGCTATCTGAACGTTCTCATTAACAGCTTAGAAGGTTAGAGGCACGTCACCAGGGGCATGACCTGGGAAGGTCTGTCTTTCTCCTTGACACCTCCCAGCTCTCTCTGCCCGCTGCTTGCCGAGAGGTGAACAGCTGCCCTCCACCCAGGCCTCCACCACGCTGCTCCTGCCTCAGAGTCCGCCGCCCACGGGGTGAGACTGTGAGCCCAAACCGACCTCCCTTCCTTTGAGCTGTAACTGCCGGGTACTCTTTCCCCACCAATGGGAAAGTGACTACGGTATTTACCCATCATTTATCTGAATGGATTCAAAGGCGTAAGGTACTTAACAGTGAACCGAAAACTAATGCTAGGTGGTTTCCAAGCTACAGAACATACAGGAGAAGTAAGCAATCAGAGTTAAACTTTTTTGAGGACTGTGCATGCTTAACTTGTGGAGACTGTTAATTGAAAACGAGCAGTAGGACAAGCAGTACTACACAGCCAAAAATCTGTTCTCAAAATCCTTTCAAGTCAGAATGTGTGATTAGGAAAGATGATGCATATATTACATAATATTCTCCTTTGATGTTCGAGAAAAGAATCAGAATAGTATTTCTGCATTAAGCTATTGTTATCCTCCAATTGTTATGAAATTTTATTTTTTCATAGAAATAAGAGTACTTTTTCATATTTTTATTAATATCTATTTGTATTACATTAAATAAAAAATAATAAAACTATTTGAAGTGAAGAAAATATACGAATATTCATACCACGAGGGATCAAACCAAAGTACTGTTGTTAAATAAGCTACTGAAAAACTTAAATTTTTTTTCCAGGTTTTAGAATTTCAGATGAGAAACTGTGGACCTTTATTATAAAATACACTTGAATCCAGTAAGATGTCATGCCACTGTGATTATCATGATAAAAATAACCCAGTGGAGTCTTCTAAAAGCTTTTGGATGTTACTTCCATCAAACTTTGTGGCCTGACCTCAGAATCTGAAATATTTTCTTTTTTAAAAAAAAGCATGGGTAGTTACCATGTTATTTTAATTTTTTCTTAAAAAATTATACATTAGCAGATTATATATAAGCAGAGTCCCCAGAGAATCAAAGGGTGATCATGCTCCCTCTGGTTCTTCTGATTTCATCTTAGCTCCAAGGAAGAAAATACTCAGGTTTGCAAAGGCAGGGGTGCTGATGAAGACAGCTTTCCTGGACCTGGACATGGAAGAAGACTCCACAGACTCTTGGCCATATGGTGTCACCTTGTACAGGAGTACACAAAGAGCCTACTACAAGAATGGTGTACGAGCAGCCTGAATTCACCAAGAAAAGGTGTTTGGGAAGTCCCCAGTCATTCTCAGACCAATGGAGACTGGACGCATGTTCCCGATGGGAACTATGGGGCCTGCAAGCTGTAAACTGAACCAACAGGCATGAGGGTAGTGACTGCAGGCTGATAAACTCTCTTTTACCTTCTGACTGCACCAGGGTAACTGATGTCCTTCCTGTATTGCCTACAGGAAACACTCAGAGCCTGACCACAGCAAAATCTGGAGAGATTTTATTTTACATAGTTTTAGAACATAGTCAAACATACAAAGAAGTCAATAAGAAAAAAATATCAATAGAAGCCTTTATTTTGGTCTTGACAAAAGTTCTTCTGAGGACAAAGGAATTGGACAAGGATTCAGAGAGCTGCAGTTTAGGTCTGAGTATGGCAGTTGACTAATAATTCCCTAAGGGTTGTGGCATCTGGAGAAATTCAAATAAAGGGCATCTTCATAGGCTTACAATGTTTGTTAATCTGTACCTTTGCTTGGAGGGAACTGTTTCTGGTTTTCTTTTATATCCGACAGTGGAATGCAGGACATAAAGATGCCCTGTCCATTTTATCACCCCTACCACATGTCCACTGTTATTCAGCATGACTCCAGCATGGTCTTCTTTTCCTAGATTCTTAGAGGGACCCAAGGAAAAAGTTCTTTTGAGGGATCTTATGGCTGTTAGGCTGGCTTTCAACCCATTCTACTGAGGCTAAGATATATATATATTTTCTTTTCCATATATTCAATGGGGTTTTTGACAATAACTCAAAACAGAACTATCTTATTTGCCAGAAAAGACAAGCTACTCTTTCTGCATGTTCAGGTCAGAAGTCAAATAAATGGAAAAGTAGAATCTATCAAAGATTTCCTGCATAAAAATAAAAGCTTATGTTGGGACTGACAGAGACAGGGGGAATAAAGGGCTTACCCCCATTTTTCTTGCTTGCAAAACTTTTATACACATTCCATAGCTATCTACTTATTCTACATGTTCCTGTTTGTACTCAACAAACATTTGCTGAATAGATAAATGACTATCATTACAGCTTCTAGAAGTCCAGTCTATGGTCTGTGCTGGGGAATTGAAATGGTTGGCTCTTAACTTCATGATATCTCAGAGTTGTAAGCAACCAACAAACTCAGTCTCTTCACTGCACACATGACAAAGCTGGACTTTCTCAATGTGACGGTGCTAGGATATGACTCAAGGTCTTCCGCATGTCTTGAAATCTGTGTCTGAATCACCATTCTATAGGCCTTTCTTCAATCTCTGTGCCTCACCCAGCACTTAAGAAGCTGGATAAACTTCCTATGGAGTTCATTCCTTCTATCACATTGCTCTAATGCATAGTGAACTACCCATCCTGACTCATGTCCTTTTCTTTCTTTGTCTTTCAACTCTTCTACTCAGTATCTTTACAACCTCAAACCCATAGAGCGTGCTGTCTCTTTTCCCAGCTCTGTGAGAACTGGGCTCCTTGCTTACTCCTCTTCGTCTCACGTGTCCTCTTCTACAGTGCAGCTTTGGGTTACCAGCCCCATCTACCACTGTTACCGATGACCCCCTCCCCCATCTCCTGAGCCTTTCTGGAGAAAAACCACAGCAGAAATATGGGACCTTAGAAATTTCCATACTTTTTCTATTGAAACTTAGGCCCCAAATTTCTTCTGGCAAGTTCTACTGTTTTGCTATTACTCTAGCTTGGTGGCCAAACTAGGTTGTATGGTCATAGAAAGGATGTTTATTTGTACAGTCCTTTCTGTCCAATGAGTATATCCTGAATATGTATATCCCTTGAAACATGATTCAGCGTCTCTCATTCAGTTACCCAAAGAAGGAAGACTTTTTCTTTCTACCATACAGAAAATATGTATCTTAGTGAACATCCTAACTATCTGGACTTCCTACTTAAGAGGGCCAGGAGCCATGTCATAATATTCTATGCCCATAGGGCCTCCCAATGCTCCCCAGGCATAGTTGATTGCTATACATTAAAATATGTAGTGTCAAGACAGACAAGAAAAGCAGAATGCTAAAAATAAATAAATAAAGTTGAGAAATGGATTTTTTTCAGGCTTCTAGTTTGTCTAATAAAAACAGTATATGACAATTTTAAATTTCAAAGTATATTCCAGAATGACATCACTGCTAAAAGCCACAAACATATCTGGCTTTAGATTTGTGAAAACTAAATAGAGGTTTATGGTGAATTAGATGGAAATAATTCACCAAAGAATCCAGATGGCATCATAAACCACAACAGAGCAAATTAAGTGGTCTATGAAGTCATTCTTTTTTGTTAGCACACACTGAAACATACTATACATTTATTATTTAATGAATGCCACATTATAACAGGATCTTGGAAACAAGGCAAAACTAAAATGGTAAAATTTCATTTAACCAAAACCAGTTTTA